ATCCCCTGAGGCTGAGAGAATGTGATATGCCCAAGGTCACCCATGGGTTTCCATGGCCAAGCAGGGTTTCGAACCCTGGTCTCCCAGAGTCCTAGTCCAACGATCAAACCATTACACCATGCTGGCCCTCTCAAGCCGGTCTACAGAACCTTTCTGCAAAATTAGGTTCTCCACCAGATTGGACTGCAACTCACACCATCCTCAGCCAACACCACTCAGTAGGGATGGTGGGAGCAGTAGTCCAAGTCATCTGGGAGGGAGAACACCTGGTCTAAAAGACACAATGCTGAAGGGGAGGGATCTCGGGACACAAGAGAAGACAGGAAAAGAGGGAAAGGCCATTGTAGTACTTATGTATTTATAAAATAAATAAATTTTTATTAAATGTTGTAAGCTCCCTTGGGTCCCTTGGCAGGAGAAAGGTGGGGTATAAATTTAATACAGAAATAAACCATGTTTGTCAGATATCACTCATCCTGATTGTTGGGAATGTGGGCTTAACACTTAACTCAGAACCATACTGTGTGTTGGGTGCACAGTTCTTCTTCCCATTTTGATCCCCACAGCAGCTCTGCTAGGTAGACTAGGCTGAGAGTCAATGACAGATTGAAGGTCCCCTCCAGTGAACTTGGTGTCTGAGTGAGTATTTAAACCCAGGTCTCCTTGTCCAACACTTCAAACCGCTGCACCATGCTGATCAGCCTACAATATCTGACTTTCTATATGTTTTTAATTGTAATCTTTTTAATGTGGAAGCTGCCTGGAGTCCCATCACCCCCATTTTCTCTCTCACCTTTGTGCTGGGAGGTTCTCTGTGTTACCTGTTCAAAAGCGGGATAAGGCAAAGGATTGACTCTTTGAATAGACCAAGGTTGGGAGGTTGAGAGAAGAGCACTTAAAATGGGGTTAAGGTGGCTCAAAATCCTAAAGGCTGGTTCATGTATGCCTCCTAAACCATAGAGTTAAGAAAATGTTGTTGGTGCTGATGCTGATTAACTTTATTGATATTCTACTTTTTCCCCAAGACTGGGACTCCAGGCAGCTTTCACCTTAAAAAATTGACAAAAACGTATGGAAAGTCAGCATTTCGTTCCACATAGTAAATTATAATTTAATATAGTGAACTAAACCATTAACCTTATTAAAAACATAGACTCTAAAACATCTTTAAAAGTTAATACAATTTAAAAACAATACAGCACTTACAGCCCTTTTGCTAAAAGCCCTCAATTCTAAAACCCTGTCTGAATAATAATAATAATAATAATAGTCTTCAACTGCCTGAGGGAAGCCTCTCTTGGGAAGGTATTCCAAAGTCTGGAAGCAGCCATCAAGAAGACCCTCAGATTCCTGCCAACGGTCCTTGTGAAGGTGGTTAGAGATCTGCAGAGTCTTGAACCTGGAGCTCAATTTTAAAGCACAGATCTGGAATACGAGGTGGGAGACCCTAGCAATTCTGTCTCTAGCCAAAGGCCCCCTTCATCAGGCAAAGACAGTTGGAAGGGAAAGGATAAAGCACCAGTCCTGGTCCTTCTTCCTCAAACTCCATAGGCATTCTGACTGGATCAGGAGACTCTGCGTCTGCCTGTGTGTGCGCTTCCAATCAATGTACCGTGAACAAGGCCAGTCCTATGGTTAGGCAGTGTGAGGCTATTGCCTCAGGCAGCAGGTTTTGGGAGTCATGAAAGCGTGTCAACCAATCTGCTACTTACTTTGTTGTGACAGTGTTATTACTACTAAGAAGGGAAAGATGCTGGGGAGGATTATTCCCCGGGGAGTAGAATAATCGTGGCTGTTTCTGATTGTTGTGCACTTCAACTGAGGTGAGTCATGAAGGAAAAGCACCATTTATTCTGCAGGGGATGATGGGCAAGCTTGAAATATGAAGAGATGAGCAAGGGTAACTTAGAGTTCTTGCACAAAGTGCTCATTTTCTGCTAATTACGTAAGCAAACTGCAGCTTCCGGATAGAATCAAAATTACTTCTATACTGTGCTCCAAAAGTTCCTTTTCTGTACGCAAGTCCCAGAATCCCCAACAGCAGTGCTTGCTGGGAGATTCTGAGTGTTTTAGTCTAGAAAGTAACTTTTCTAAGCTCTGGACCTTGGATCTGCCTGTGCCCCACTCACCCCAGTAGAACTGAATAGACATCCCCAGACTTTGGTGAAATCTTACGGCAAGTAAAGAGTGAGGGCGTAACATTATGCTCACAGACTTGTTCCACTATGCTGCTTGTTAGGGAACTGTGATGTTATGCAACTAAAGATGCAGCCAATTTGCATGTGTCACTGCATGCACAACGCACCTCTATGTGCCATGCCCATCAGTGCACAAAAGTGGGCAAAGGCACTGTATGTGCAACTCAACTTCCATAACCTTGAACTAAATGCAGCACATTCTGCATTTAGGCAAAAATGCCAAAGCGTTTCTGCAGGGGAACTTTTGCATGTGTAAGTTAACAACCGAATTCTGGCCTTTGTGATCCAAAAAATCTCCAAATTGTTTTCATTTGGCTGAGGGGTGCTTATACTGTATTATACAACACTGCCGACATACACGGTGGGGAGGGAGCAACATAGGTAAAGTGAAGAAAAAGGGATGGAGGGGTGCACAGTTTGAGAATGCACAATTCATAATCTAGATGTTGACTGTCGGAACCAATGCCATGGGACTGGGGTGAGGGGATGAGAAAATAAAACATGCCTCAGTGCAAGTGACTGCAGCTTAGTCTCTGGCTCCTATGAGAATGGGGCAGTGATAGGCAAAACCACTCTTGGAAGCACCTTGTTAGTGACATACTTGTGGCTTACACACATCTGTCTCTTTTTAGACAGGACACAGGGATATTCTTTAGCATTTGTGCCCCATCCAAAATCTCTCCCACCAGTAGCTGTCAAGCCTTGGGAGGATCCACTGCTGAGCAGTAGGGAAAAAAGAGTGAAGAGGTAAGACAATGAAGATGCAGCTAGTCTGAGCTTGGAGGGGAAGGGAAAGATGCATCTGTGAGTACATCCTCATTTCTTTTTCCCTCTGAGCCAAGAGCAACCACATCTTTGTTGTCTGAAGGATACAGAATTGCACAAGCAGAGTGTTATGCTCTATTTGCTTAATGTTGGCTCTCGTCTCTGGGTTTCTAATCCAGACTTCCCAAAGTGCTGAACCCTATCCTCAAAATAGGTTCTGCACATTGCAAGGGAGGTAGCACTTTACCAAAGCATTGTACCAAAGCAAGCAGCTCTCTCCACCATAAACTAGGTACCCTCCTGATGCTTTGATCCATCACCAAAGCTGGCTGGATATGCTGGCTGGGAATGATGAGAGCAGCAGCCAAACATTTGGCGACTGCTGAGTTGGGGAAGATGGAAGGTGCAGCTAAAAATGCTTAATATGTAGGGCTCCTGGGAGAATATTCCAGGCATAAAGAACATTGGGAGGATGAGGGCTTAGGCCCTAGAGCTGGGAAGGAAAAAGTACAGCCAGGGAAAAAAATATTTCTTGAACTACAGCTCCCAGAATTCCTCAGCCAGTATGGTCAGAAATTCAGCATTAACTAGAACATGTGTCCTCTCAACCTCAGTCACTTTGTCCAGTGGGACACGTCTAATTTCAGCCCATTCAGTACTGTGATCTGTTTCCAGATTTTCATTCCTTTCCTTCTTCATTCTCTCATTCACACTTCCCAATACCCTAAAAATAAGGGTGAACAACCTGCGGCTCTTGGCCTCCTTTCAAAAGATTTCCACAAATGATCTGTTCAGACCTCTGGCAAGAGCTGTTTCTCTCCTGGCAGTCACTAGAGTAGAAAACGATAAGGAAGGAGAGAAACAAAGAAAAAGAGAGTAAGTGAAAAATAGGGTGGGAAGGAGAAGGAATGGCCTATTCTCTGAGCTTGAAAAAGTTCATTTAAAAAAAAAAAACTGCAGTGCCCCAAATCTGGTGTAGTCCCAAAAAGGAAATTTACCAAGTGCCATCTCCTTTCTAGTTCTTCTCTTTGGCTTGGTTTCTGGTTCCAAGTAGAGTAGATCTAGTGCATCAGTGTGAATTACGAATGTGTTGATTCACCATTCAGCAATTGATTCAGTTGGTCTACTCAGTTATGGGCTTACCAACAGGATTCAAGCCTCTGTGTGACAGCCCTTCTGGTATTGCAGGGGTGTGAATCCTGTGGTATACTAGACATTGTTGGACTTCAAGTCCCAGATGCCCCTAGCCAGCATAGCCAATGGTGAGAAATGCTGGGAGTTGCAGTCCAACAACATCTGGAGGGCTGTATGATTCCTGTCCCTCTGGTATAGGAAAAGTGTTATCATCCATCTTCCCTCAACCTTCAACCTCAGTGTTCTCTTCTCTGGGCCAAGTCTACCAGGCAACTTTTCCTGGAAGGACTTGCTTTCCATAGCCCTAACCAGTGGTGTAGTGGAGTCAGGGCTCACAGGATCAAAGCTCAGGAGTTTCTTTTTTTTACCCATTAGGCAATATGTCAACTGCCACCTTCCCTGGCTTCCTTGTTCCTTCTGGGTTTAGCTGCCATCCCCACAGTAGCATGCGGAAGACAGTGGATTTTCTCAACAACAGTATATTGTTGCAAGTCACCCTATAATATGAAGGTATATTCAGGTGCACTGAGACTTGAATGGGCAACTAGGATCCATTAGTTTTGCAAAAAAACAAACCAAAAAAAAAAAAAACCAAAAACTGTTTCTGGTGATGAAAGCCACTAGAACTGGATTTTTGCTATGAATTAACAAGTGCTTGCCTTTTGAGCCTCTCCTCCGGGACAAAGTCTTGGCAGTGGGCACTCTCCTGATAATTGTTTGTGTTTCACCATTTTCTGTATACCACTCACTCTAAGTCAGGGGTAGGCAACCTTTCCCCTTTAAGGGCCGAGAGACTTCAGCTCCCAGAATCCCAGGAGCTATTGGCCAACATGGGACTATTGGCCAACATAGCTGAGTCTTCTGGGAGCTGAAGTCCCTTGGCCCTTAAAGGGGAAAGGTTGCCTACCCCTGCTCTAAGTAATTGCATTGAGGACTAGGACTTCAGGAGACCAGGATTTCAGTCATAGAAACCTGCTGGGTGACCATCTGTGAGTCACACCAGCCTAGCCTTAGTGGCAGGAAATGACAA